GTGATTGAGGAGTAAGAGAAACACCTTCCTCTGGTGATAGCATTATGTAAAAGTTTAAGATCAGTTTGCAGATTAAACGGTTTTAAATTAAAAAATAAAACCTGGCTTTTACAGAACGCCCACCACTACATGTGCAAACAATCAATTAAAGTTTTCATGTCCTAACAGCATCACGCGGTGACCTCTAATCGAACCAGGATTTGGAGTAGTATCACACCTGATTAAGCTAAAAATTAATCTAAGCTGCGATTGCCCAGTATTACCTATGATTAGACTGCTGATGAGACACTTTGGCGTCACAAGTGGCTAAAAATACCAAAGCTATAAAAAGTCAGGCAGCAGTATGTTCTATTTTGTTAGAGCCCGGTCATCATCACCTAAAAGTCACTCTTAAACATGAAGTCCTCTCTACTGTCAGTGGCAGTCCTTGGCCTGGTGGTCATTGCCGCCCAGTCCGCCTCCGTGCCGAAGGTGTCGCTGTACTACGAGTCGCTGTGCCCCTTCTGCCACGCCTTCTTCCTCCAGCAGCTGGCGCCCACCTACGAGGCGCTGAAGGGCCACATCGAGGTGGAGCTGGTGCCCTTTGGCAATGTGCGCGTGACCGAGGGCGCCGGCGGCCACCGAGAGTACCACTGCCAGCACGGAGAGGCAGAGTGCTACGGCAATCGGGTGCACTCATGCGGGCTGGCGCTGATCACCGATAAGGATGAGGCTTTCAAGTAAGTCCTGTCAACTAGTGAATCTTTTGAAAGCAAAACAAACTAACCTTTACACTTACCGATTAGATTCATCAAGTGCAACTTTGCGGCGCCCAACTTCCACGACACGCACCACGTCGGCGAGCACTGTGCCAAGGAGATGCACCTCGACTGGGCGAAGCTGAAGGCCTGCGTCGACGGCCACCAGGGCGACCAGCTGATCGAGGCCAACTGGAAGAAGACGGCGGCGCTGACGCCGCGCAAGACCGGCGTGCCGTGGGTGTTGGTGGATAACCAGCACACTGATGTCATTCAGCACGAAGCTCGAAACCACCTGCAGGTCTTCCTCTGCACCAAGTACCTCAAGGGCGTCAACATTGCCGCCTGCCATCACTAGAGATGTGTTTCTCGTGAGGCCATAAATACTCTGCTTCAGGTGTTTAGGATATAACAATAATATTACTCTGAGCCAGTCAGTGATTGACTACGCCAATAATAAAGGGAGTTCCAGTTCTACATNTCGAAACCACCTGCAGGTCTTCCTCTGCACCAAGTACCTCAAGGGCGTCAACATTGCCGCCTGCCATCACTAGAGATGTGTTTCTCGTGAGGCCATAAATACTCTGCTTCAGGTGTTTAGGATATAACAATAATATTACTCTGAGCCAGTCAGTGATTGACTACGCCAATAATAAAGGGTGTTCCAGTTCTACATTCAAGTGTTCCTAATGTGTTTCCATTCAGTGACACTTCTACTCTACTTCTTCTTCTTGGTGTTGGTCTCCGCCTCGTCCAAGTCGGGACTCCGACTGGCTAGCACCTGCTTCAACTCGAGCTTGTAGTTGTTCAGGTCGTGATCAGGTATGTAGCGCGTCTTCTCGTGGAGGGCGTCGTCGTGCTCGTGAATGGAGAGAAAGACGCCGACGGGCAGAGACCGGTGGACGATCTCCACCAGCATCGACGTCAGTCGGCCGCTGATCTTCTCAATTTGAATATTGCGTTCGTACATCTGCAGCTCGTAGGTGCTCTCCACCACCTGAGATTCGTGCTGCAGTGTTTCAATCTTTCTGGTGGTGTTTGGCTGGCACCAGTACTTTGCCACCGTCAGACCGAGCTTATTCGACAGGCGGTGCAGGTAGGAGCCGTAGCTCTCGAGAACGGCAAAATCGTAGGCGCGAATCTGAAAAGGCAAATAAGCGTTAGTTAAAACTGCTCATTTTAATAACTACTTGATCAACTAGTATTACCTGAATGTTGATGGCATTGTAGTAGGGAATCTGCGGCTTCAGGTA